ATAGCTTTCTCATCTTCCTCATTAAATTCATCTTCATTTTCTTCTAGCTCTTCCAGAGTCATGTCCTCGTAAGTCTTCACTAGAACGGAAGCAATACCAAATCAGCAAAAATCTCATTCTGAGAAACTTCTGCCTTTCAGTCTAACAGAATTTATTTATTTTAAGGATAGATTAACTATACGAAATGTTTTTTCCCTGCAATATTATTGTTACTGGATTTTTAGAAAATATTATGCACTCTATACGTATAAATGGTATATACACTGATATATACACTGATGTAAAAAACTGAGCCTGAGGCTGGCTACACTGGCATAGAAGTACCTGAGCTAGCTTTCAAGTTCTGTGACTGCAGCAGAGACATGCAATACAGCACGGGTGCCTGAATAACAGAGGAAGCATACAACAGGTAACGATCATGTTCATTAGATACTTTTATTTGTGCATTCATATGACAAACTCCCTTCAGACTGTTCTTATTTCAGCTTTGAAACATTTACATTTATAAAAACATGGCATTGGCGTTGAGAACAAAGTCTTCCTGTACTGGAAGAACCATGTATTGAGGAACATATTTGTCTGATACTGGCAACAGATGGCCATGCTATACAAGAATTATCTCTGGTATCCCTTACAGGTTTAGCAAAGGACACATTGCCTCACAGGCACGTAAACTCACCAAGAGACTTCTGAAGGATCATCAGCTGCTCCTCCTCCTTTGCACGCTCCTGTTCTTCGAGGTTCTCCTTGGGAGGAAGGATGCCTTTCTTGCGCAGGATGTCATTCCACTCCGTGTCTTTGTCTGGGTCCTACAAAGAAACAAGAAACAGATGGCATGCGTTCAAGAAGCACTTTGACACATCCAGAAGTTAGCAAAGCAAGTTTTTCAGGAGACTTATGGCACTGATAGAGCAGTAACTGTCTGCATAGCATCAGAGATTCAGCGTGCACCCTCCTGAGGCTTTCTGTGGCCCCAAGAGGGGACTGAAAAAAGTGACTTTGTGACTTTTTATTTGGGGGCTGAGCCTCCTTGGCGGGGTCTGTTGGCGTGCCTACAGCAGCGCTTGGAGAGAAGCACGCGTGGCCACTGCTGGATAAGGCCACGGCTAGGGATCAGATTTAAATCTATGCCTGAATTTTAAAAGCTTTTGTAAGGACACAGCTCCAATAATCCCCAAGAAGAAGGCCCACAGGCGCCTATGTATTGCTGACAAGCTCGAGTATTCAAGTTATCCTGTAGTTCCTTGTTTTAAACAGGAAAACTCGGCGATAAACACTCGTCCTCTTGATTTTAGCTCCTCCCTGACTCGAACCAAGTCCCCAAGCCCCCTCAGGACCAGCAGCTTAAGGAAATAACACAGCAAACACCAATATAACACGAGAGGCGGCCGCGAGCCCCGCCGCGCACCCCCGGCTGGGGGCCATGCCGGGCCCGCCCGCCCCAAGCAGGGAGCTCCGCGCTGCGGCGGGGAGCAGCGGGGCGGCCCTGCCCGGTCCCCATCGGGCTCCCCCGCACCCCGGGCCCGGCTGCCCGAGCCCCCCGGGCCCTCACCTGCATCTTGGCGGCAGGGCCGGGGCCGGGGCCCGGGGTTCAGCGGTGCTGGGCTGGGCCCGGTCCCGGCGTGCGCGGCGCGGCCGGGGGGAGGCGGAGCGGGGCGGGGCGGAGCGGGGCTGCTGCTTCCTTCAGTGCCTAATTAGGGCCGGGCGGCTCGGCCTGGTGGGGCAGGGTTGGACATAGCGAAGGGTTTTGGCCCTGGGAGGGAGGCTGAGCGTGTGGCAGGGCCCCAAATCGGGGCTGGGAGGGGTTCTCGGTTGCCCTTGCTTCAGCCTCTGCTGCCGCCCAGCGCTGCGGCGTGATGGCAGGGAGAGGGTTTAGTGTCAAGCACCGCAGCCTGGTTAATTAATAATTGGTGGTGTTCCCTGCTTGGAGGACCTAAATCTATCCCACGGTTTCCTGTTCATAGCGAGATCCCAGGCTTATCCGTCCCAGTGTCCCGCTGAGTCTGTGGCGTGAGGCTGGTGCTCAGCGGTCTCCATTTCCTCGGGGTCCCTCAGGAGCAGCCAGCGCTGCACTGCCTTTAACAGGCAATGCCCAGCGCCCCTCTCAGTGAGGCTTTAATGCAATAAAAGCCTTAATAATTCAATTACAATAAATGATGCATACAGAGATGCCCCCACCCTCTCCTCACCCCCCTCAAATCAACATCAGCATGGATGTGATGGAGCGAGAGAAGGTGCATTTTCTGTGGGGCAGAACAGAAGTTCCTACACTCCCTGCTCTAACATAAGTTCATGGGTACCCTCATGATGTGGCCACAGAGTCCCTAGCTGCTCCTGCCCAGCCACGGCTAGCTTGTCCTTGTCGGCTACCAAAGTTGTGCAGGGGATGCAGCATGGCCCTGGGGCATGGTATGCCTAGCAGACAGCACACTGAGCTGGGCACAGCCTCAGCTCCTCACCAGACACCTTCCTGAAGCTACACTAAACCTGTTGGTCCTAGAACAACCTACTTGAGCAGTAGGGTTGGACCAGGTGGCCTCCAGAGATCCCTTCCAACCTCAGCCATTCCGTGCTTCCATAAGCACGTAAACCAAACTAAGCACCATCACAGAAAAATATAAATAAATTGTCAACCATAGGGAATATTTCTCTATAAGCATGAAAACACATTTGATGGGTTTGGGGGCTCTCTTCTACCTTAGTTTTTCTCTGTGACACTTCTTTATTCTGCATTGAGTCCATTCTCATCTGTCTGTAGTTCATACCCTGTGTTATTGCTTCACTGGCTCCTCTCATTTTTCTTTTGATGCTCTGTTTAAATAAATAAACAAATCTAAACTACGTATTACCTATTTTTAACACACAATTTTTGTCCATGCCTCCACCATTCCATTTAGGATCAGCACCCCATTCCCTAAAAATAGGCACATCTTCCTCTGAAAAGAATTGAGCAGATCTTAGTCTTTCTTCTGAAAAACATACATCAGAGGAGAAGTGGGAAGCGGCCTGCTCCTGCCTCCCCCTCCGTTTTGAGCCTTAGCCTGGTGGCCAGCAAACTCATCCAGGAATGGGGAGCTGAGCTCTGGGTACCCAGAAAACTGCCCCATCACAACCAGCCCACAGGCCTCAGGATTGTGCTTGTTCTGGTCATGCAGAGAAATGACTCTGTCTACCTCCGATTTAAAAGAAATGGATAGCCACAGCTGTGCTTGGAGACAACATCAGTCGTTATGGTGAATATTTGGATGAGTGGAGAGTGTCCCTTACCCACCTCCCAGAGCCCTGGAGGGGAGGAAGACTCTGCTTGGTGCCTACGGTGCACGGAGTGCTTCATCCTTGTGGAAAATGCAGTTTTCTGAGTGGTGTTGGAGCCACAGTTATAGGTGACGTGAGAAATATTAAAGCAGGAAGGAGTGGGCTACAGTACCTTCCAATGAGCTAACACCTGAGCTCAGGCTTTTGGGATCACAATTTTGAAGTCTTCTGCAGGCCCTCTTGAAGAAAGTCTTTTGGCTCTGACCCACAGATACTATCCCGCATGCAGAACTGAAGGCTTAGCCGTCTGTGCCAGTTTTCAGTGTGCAACTGTTTTATCAGAGCCTGGGCTTTACAGAGGACCTGCTGGTAATATTCATCTTCTGTGGCTTAAACACCACTCACCACGGTTCTTGTATGTTGCTGGTTGGAACCTATTCCGGACACCAAGAAGCAAACAGAAAGAACATGAGCACAAACAAAGCACACCATCATTGTTTAAAAGGTTCCAACAAGTGAAAACATTCACTTGTGAATTTCTTGAGATTCTTGCCAGGTTAACTCAGAGGAACTAACCGAGGACCCTGAGCACCAGGAGCCCCTGTTCCCACAGCAAACCCTGAGTTACAAGAAGAGCCCCAGCCCTAGGAGCAGCCCAGTCCTGTCACTTGATGGGGATTCGTTCACACAATATGAGCAAAGCTAAGAGTCTCACTCTGGCCTCTTCACCCAAAGGCTCCCTCTGCCTAGGGCACACATAACACGCTGTTTGCACCTCTCTCACCCAACTAAAAATACTTGGCATTTATAAATTGCATTTCCTCTATGTACTTTTGAAAATCAGGCCTCAGCAGGAACAAGAAGATTGTTTTCACACATGGTGTACGGACAGAAATACTCCAGGCAGAGTGGCTAAGAGCTGGCACTGTCACGGAGAGACTGAAATATAGCTGTAGCTTGGCCCTTCGAGACAGGCTTGCTTCCCCCCAGAGAATTGACTTCAGGGTGTCTATAATGTATTTCTTCCTTTTCTCTCAAATCAAGGGTTAGGAGGAAGGTGAGCCACAGGTGGGAATGACTCATTAATTGTCCAGGTGACCCACTAATGAGGAGAAAATGTTGCTAATAAAAAGGCACTGCTCCCTAGAGTTAGGGTGAATGATATTTGGCTTGCTTGCCTTTGACTGTAGCAAGGCACAGACTGGGCTAAAATAAGATTTTTTTCCAAAGGTAACAGGATGTCTTTTTCATCTATAGTAGATAGTGAAAAAGTTGGGATATAAGAACTTTTATAAAGTATATTTATTATAATATTATAGTATATAATATAATATTATAGTATATTATATTCATCTGTAATGAGAATAATCAGAAAATGAGATTGGGGGGAGTCTGACTGATATTAGAGTTAATGAGCTATGGCTTGGTTTGCCTGAATTTTGCTATGGGTTGTGTTCTTTTGATTTGCTTTGATTCTTCCCTCTGAAATCTTATTCTGATTTTTCTTAAATATCTATGCTTTCTCTATAGAAACTAAACAAAAAGCTATACTAATCTGGTGATAGATGTTCTTGTATCTTACAGCTGTGCTGAAAGTTAACTATTGGATTTACTCAGATTCTAAATAATACTTAAATAATTATTTTTGCCATCCTAATTGGGCTGAATTTCATTATTCTTGACTTCATTCTAAATTGGCTATAATGTCTATTTTTGTTAGCAGTATTCTGTTCAAGATGATTCTTCCTCTTACTACTGCAGAACAGCTTCAGTATTCTCATGGCAGCTAGAGAATGTCCCTCAGGGAATTAATTTAGGAACTTGTTTGAAAACCTCTTGGAGTACCTCAGGTGTAAGATGCTTCGGGTAATAGGAATCTTTCACTTTTCATACTTAAAATGGAGATCTAAATAATGGGAGAACTTGCAATACAGATTCCTCTTGGATAAAGAGACAGGCTTAGCCTCAAGTTAAATCTGAGAAAACAGGTGTAGTGTTTAAGAACAGTCTTCAATAAGAAGATCCATTGTGCCCCAATCTCCAATACAAACTAAGTACCAGAGAAAAAGACTTATTTTTTTAGGGCTCTTCATATCTGCTTTGATAGTCTTCACAGCTTTTCAAACCACTCTGGCTTTATGAAAAGGCCTCTCACCAAAAGGTAGGCTATGAAAGGGCAGTAGAAGTTAAAATTCTAGTTCTGCTGTTAATGAACTGTGGTGGGTAGCTCTCCATTCCCTTGCAAAAAGAACAAGCTTTCTTCTTGATGTGAAAGAGTAGGAAGTGTAACTTGCCTGGCTGTAATCTTTTCTTGCCCTTCCAAGCACCTGGGTAATGTAAAGGTCTCAAATCCTCTGTCTCTCTGTGCCAGTCAGGATGTCTGGACGTGGAAAGAAAAATGCAGTGGCTGGCAAACCTGGATCTAAAGCAAAGAAATCTAAGTCAGCCCTGGCTGGTCTGCAGTTTCCTGTGGCTCGTGTCTACAGGCTCCTTAAGAGAGGCAGCTATGCTGACAGGGTTGGTCTTGGCTCTGCCATCTACCTGGCCGCGGTGCTGGAGTACCTGACAGTGGAGGTCTTGGAGCTGGCAGGGAATGCTGCACGGGAGAACAAGAAATCCAGGATCCTGCCCCACCACATCCAGCTGGCTGTGAGAAACGATGAGGAGCTGAACAAGCTCTTCTCCTGCGTGACCATTGCTCAAGGAGGGGTTATGCCAAATATCCTTTCCGAGCTCCTTCCAAAGAAAACTACCCGAAGTGCTGCTACTTCTGCAGAACAACCTGGTAGCCAGTGAAACCTGCTTTTCCTTGTCTGGTCTGTGCACTTATGGATGACGGGACTCTAGCACTGATTTTGTATGTGACTATCTGTTTGTACTTTTTCCACTGAATTTTAATGTTTTTTTAAAGTTTCTAATAAAACTACTAGAAAGCAAAGTTGTTCTCCTTTCTCTTCACTGCTCTCCTTCCAGAGATCTAAGAATCCAAGAAATGTGGTTTTCTTTTTTACATCTAGCATATCACCCAAATAACTCTCAAAAAAATAAAAGTATATTAACTTTCAAAAACATGTTTTAAGTAACAGTTGTGGAGCAGGCGGAGGAGTCAAGATGCATTGCCGTTCATGTGAACTCTTCTTCCATCACAAACTCCTAATACAGTAGGTTCAGCACCTGGTGGGTTAACTCTGCTTCAGAAGTTACTGTTTGCTTTAATACTCACTGCAGCTCTGCAAGCAGTAGAGAGAGCCTCCAACATGAGTTTAAAACACTGTCCCCTTGTCATACTGACTACAGGAAGTGTATTTGAAGCCCAGTACAGTGTTTGTGCTGCCAGTAGAGGTGACCATCCTGCTTCTATCAGTGCAGAAAAACAAACATCTCCAGCTCCAAACAATTCCCTAAGCCATTTCTGACCAACTCACTCAAAACAAATCCCTTCCTTCAGGGGGGTTACTGGGATTTTCTCTCTGTTTGTAGTGGATGCAGAGGCTCCCTGCTGATGGGGAAACCAGTGGTCCGGTGCAGCTGTGTTAGGATCAGTCTGGCCACGAGGCAACATCTCAAAATTCACAGCATCTAACACAAGTGCTGATAAGAACCAGCTTCCCAACCTGAAGCCAAAGCATCAAACTGTTACTCGAATAAGATCTGCCTGTTGTTTTGAGTTTGACCTGGCTCCTTTGTCCTCTTCAAAGCATCAATGGGTCAAAGCCTACAGGTCAGGTTTTATGATCCTGAAGGACATCAGAGCTGTGTGAGATATGCAAAGTAAATGTCTCAAAATTACACTTGGGCAGGAGAGAAAGATACCTGGCAGAGCAGCTACCTTCATTTGTACGGTGGTGGGCAATTGGAAGACTCAATGCCTTTTTTTAAAGAGCAAATTAATGAGATCTTGGGTAGCCTGCAACTAAAGTAAAAATGCAGATCTGCAGCTTTGTGAATGTAGTAAAGATGTGGTACATGCAACTTCAGCTATATGTTGGGTGTTTACGCCTGTTAATGGAGAAAAAAAAAAAAAAAAAAAACTTTAGGGGAGGCATATGAGAAATGAACATATGAAACTCAAATTAGTTCCTCCATCTGACCATGGCAAATGAAAACAGGTCTTGGAATGATTATTTCTTTCAACCAAACAAAAGTCTATATGTTTGCAGTAATGAGGGAAGACTCAAGGAATGTACTAATTTCATGCAGTTTTAAGTGTGGCATTTATAGCACCATCTATAGCATCATCTGCTGATCTAAGAGGACTGTGTTTCAGTGATCGTGCTGCTCCTGTGGCTCTGCTCTGCACTGCACCAAACATCCCCCCAAGGCATGTCCAGTGTTCACACAGCTCCTAGAAATGCCTTCACCTGACATTTTCTGTATGACAAAAGACTGAGGGAGCAGTGTGGCCTTGTCTTTGCTTATACCCAGAGACTGTGTGGGCACACCGAAGACTGTGGTGAGGCACTGGTCCAACTCAAAGGTCCATTTTTAGGTATTTCTTTGATCAAAATCAATCTCAATTGCTTTCTTCTAGCCAGTAGTTTAAGCTATTTGTAAACTAACCAGATATCAGAGTGATCTGAAAACTCACCCCTCTGGCTTTGCAGTGACAGAGGATGGCTAACTTCGAACCTATCTGCTCAGTCAAAGTTTCTCTTGGGCCAGGGCTCAACCCTTCAGCACTTACGTATTGAAAAAAAAAAAAAATAATGATTCAATTACACTGAACTCTAAAAAGGACATATTATGACCTGCAACACAACTATGCATGACTTTGGAAAAAAAAAAAAAAAGTGACAAATCGGGACAAGCCATAGAATGCAAACAACCCAATGCCAGAGGTCCTGAGCTTTCTCAGGCTCTGCAGTGGGGTCACAAGGCACTTCGGCCACTGCTGGCAGCACAAACAACCAGGGTATAACTTGTTGTGTTTAATTCTTGATGACTACAGCAGGATGAGCTGTGCCCCCTTCCAGCTGTAATAAATGAATTGCCAATCAGGGGTATTGCTGTTCATTAAGTCAGTAAATAATATGCATGTTTTCAGAGGAGAACATCAGCTGACAAAGTGCTAAGCAGCTCTACAAGGAATAGTGACAAATTCACATGCTCTTGAGTACTGTATCGAGTTTCTCAAGTGTTGTGACCTTGATTGTTTTCCATTTTGAGAGGCTGAATCATCGCTCACCCAGGTGGCATTAAATGACAGAAGAGGTGCTAATGATATGGCTACCACTACAGAGTTTAAAAGGGGGCAGCTCTTTGTAGGAAGTGTAGTCTAGTAGATTTGGGTTATGATATTGTTGAAGAAAAGGATAATAACTCATTCAGGTAAAGTTTTATTTTTAAGAATAGACATTTTATGTCTCTGTGTTAGGTAAGCTCTTGGGTTTTGTAAGTTCTGAGTTGGTATAAGGCTGTTGATTAAGGTGGTTATTTAATTTTATTTACTTATCTGGACTATTTCTAAAATTATTTTTTTTTCCTATGGCCTTCAGAAACTTCCCATAAGAATATATTTTTTTCTATTTCTAGGGGGTTCAGTTCGGTATCTGATTTAATTCATCACTAAATCTGGGTGCTGCCTCCCATTAATTAAAAAACAGCTAATGATCAAATCTTAAAAGCAGTTCTATACACTGGAGCAGAACCTTCCCCTGTTCATCTTCTAGCTGCTTTATGTTACACATTGAAGAGGAGTAAGTGCTATTCAATACCAGAGACTTTGTCAGTAACAAGTAATAGAGACTTGTTGAAATAGGAGGAATACTGCACAAGCAGATGGCACTCATGCATTTGTAGTAGTCTGATGCATAGCATGCTGAGTAGAGTGATTTTGGTGTCTGATGTGAAAAACTAAGTTTCTTGTAAGTCTTGTTCCTCATTGTGACCCGTTACTTTGCAGCAATAGGTCCCCTCACCTTTGGCAAGATCCACTTGAAGTGGTTTCCAGCACATATATTTTTCTAATATAACAACAGGAAAAAAAAAAAACAAAACTAATTTCTAGCATGGGTTATCTCAAGGCTATGATGATAGAAGCTGCTTAGTGTGGTGCTTTCTTGTTTTATTTTACCAGAGGTAAGTTCAATAAGGATTCCCTGCAGGGTTTCTGGACACTCATGGGTATCTTGGAGCCTTGTTTGCTTAACTTATCTCATTAACAGCAATGCTCCTTTGATGCTGGGTCTTGCTCCTAAGTTCCTCTTTACTCTCTTGAAAAGTCCTGGAGGTCTGGCAGATGGCTGGCCTGCTGCTCTGGTTGAGCATGTAGATGCCTCTTGGCTGGAAACTTGTCAGGCTCCTAGAGGAGCAGCCAGACCCATCTGCTCCTTCAGAAAAAAGTATGGAAGAACTAGCAATCTTTCTGAGAAAAGAAAAATGACTTCTAATGAATTAGGCAGTGGAATGAGGAGGATGGAGGATGGATAAATGCTGAGCTATTGTTGGTGGTGTCTTTGTTTAATTCCTTTTCCTTTTGTACTAGATTGTTAGAATGTCTGAACACAACAAGAAAAACCCCAAGCTCCTCCTTGTGCCAAAGAAAACTAAATCATCCATGGCTGGTCTGCTGTTTCCCGTGGCTCGTGTCTACAGGCTCCTTAAGAGAGGCAGCTATGCTGACAGGGTTGGTCTTGGCTCTGCCATCTACCTGGCTGCGGTGCTGGAGTACCTGACCGCGGAGATCTTGGAGCTGGCAGGGAATGCTGCACGGGAGAACAAGAAATCCAGGATCCTGCCCCGCCACATCCAGCTGGCTGTGAGAAACGACGAGGAGCTGAACAGGCTCTTCTCCTGCGTGACCATTGCTCAAGGAGGAGTGCCACCTAATGTTCTTCCTGAGCTTCTGCCAAAGAGACATGGTCTTCTTAAGCCACCCCACAAAAATGTCTGGTCACAGGAGTTCTAGCTGCCACCAGGCTCCTGAGCTTGTGTTGCTGCTGGTGCTGGCATCTTCTACAGCCTGGACCTCTACATGTTTTTTTGGCAACTTTGGTTTATATTTGTGTGTGTATCTGGGTGCTTGTCTGAGAAGTGCCAAAGACAGGGTTGCTAGTTTGGTTCTTGCTATGTCCTTCAAAAGAAAGCTGACAGACTACTTTTATGAATACCCACGTGTAAAATGGACTCACGTTGGTCTTCTCCACTTCTATAAAATATTTGTTGCATCACTTTCTTTCCAGTGCAGTTATCTAGGGAAACCTGGCCTATTGTCTTCAAAGCATGGGGGTGGGTAGCTGGGATCTGTTTATTCAATATGTGTGAGAGTCTGCTTCATCTGACAACTGTGCCCATGAGGAGGTCTGAAGTGAACAATTTGGTGTAAGTAGATGTACTCAAGAGACTTACACTGGACTTCCTGTGGTGGTTTTACTGTCATTAAAGGGAAATACAGAAAGTCTTTTCTAGGACCTTCCAACATTTGTGTCCTACAGCTACATGGTTTGAAAGGCTACATAAGCACTCTTGGGTTTTTACTTTTGTAATACCAGTGAGGATGTACCATGTTTGTGCTGCAGGTTTTATTTAGCAGCTTCACCAGCAGGATGCCACTGAAATTCTAGGACATTACAAGTGCGTTATCAGGCATTTGAATTACTCTACTTATAGCACAGCACAGAAAGACCCTACTGTCTACCATGTTCAGATGTATTAATCCATTCAGACAAAAAGGTTATTTGGAGATACAGTCCTGATTGACTCTACTAGGCCAAGACTTGGGAGCCTGTGTTTGTAGAGTTTACCCCCATAGTCATCCATGAGGTGCTGCTGCTTTCTGTAGTGCAACTTGGAAAAAATCCTTGTTTTTTCTGGTCTTGAGGGTATTAGGAGCACTTGAACTGTTTGCAGAGAGCTCTTCTCCATCTATAGGCAGGCTAGAGAGTTTAAATGGAATATGAAAAGCCAGGAAAAAAGAATTGTGGTCCTCCAGTTGGAGGACTTTCAGTATGTAAAACTTCTAGCATGTAGGTATATTGCAAGCTCCTGCTAGAGGCAAGGCCATGAAAAGACAACTAGAGGAGAGTCTGTAGAGGTATCAGGTCAGTCCCAGTATAACTGGCTGCTATGATTGCTGGAGATGAGTGGTTTATAGTGTGGGTGGTAGATGAATGTTGGTGCAAGGGCAGCCTGAAGATCAGCCATTGCGAGCTGTGTAATCACAGGCAGCTTTCTCCAGAGACTTAGAGGGTGAAATGATGCTGAAGCGCCGACCTGTGTAATAAACTGTTGCCTTGGAAAGTAACAGCAGCTCCTTAGGGGGGCTGCTGGATGTTTTTCTACAGCAGTTTCAGTCAACACTGACAATATGAGCTGTGTTTGAAGAAAAACAGCCCCAGTCAGGCTGGTGGTTACATTTCATGCTGTGTTGGCTCAGAGACCGGCTTCTGACTCAGCCAAGATGCTGTCCACAGCACGGGTGCTCGAGCAGCAGCATGGGCTCATGCAGCTCCTGCAGTGCTGCACTGCTCCCTCTGCTGGGTCAACACAGCTGCTCGCAGCTGTGCAGTAGTGCTTAAGTACTTAAGCACTACTGCAGGGTGGCTGGCAAACCTGAGGTGTTGTTCCATTGTCCCATAAGCTGCAAACGTAGGAAGATGCCCAATAGGCACTCTGGGGTCTCTAGCTCATATCTGCAACTGCAAGAGCAAGTTTGGAGGCAGGTAACTCAAAAAGCTTCCTGGGGAGAGACATCATCTTTGGCACAACTGCACAAGCAAGAATGGCCTGGAAAAACACTGGTCCAGAGGGATCCGCAGGGGAAGGGCATTTGTGGAGCACATAGGAGTCCCAGCAGCTCTACTGTCATTAGTAATTTGGGCTGACCTGTAGATGTGTTAATTCCTGAAATATGCCTTGCCATGATGCTTCTGTTCTCTATGCTCACTGCTAGAGCTTTTATGCTGCATTTTGAAATGTAAAACCACTGATGCATTCATTCCTCTGTTTCTGCAATGTCTGAAGACAATTAAAAATATAAACCATGTTAATTTCAGAGAACTCTCATTAATTCTCCAATACTGTTTCCCTCCTGCAGCTGGGAAGCCTATTTGGTCTTTCTTCTGAAGATGCACATGTTTACAACATGTATGCTTCAGTGGGGTGCTCTTAATCCTTGATTAAAAATCCATTGTCAGTTTAAATATATAATAGAACATATATTTTTTCTTATAGCATATCCTCAGCCCTGTTCATTTCCAGCTTGCACACTGCTATACCCCAAGTAAATACTTTGATAAGATGCAAGGCATATGGCTTGTGAAGGCTGCCCCAGCAGCTGGATCAGACTCTGCCCCTGTTTCCACTTCTTTCTCAGTCTCTCTTCCTCAGCTCTCCTTGGTGTCACAGCTTATGTGCTTCCATGACTTCAGGGGGCAAATTGCTTATTTACTAGCTAATGTTTATTGAATGTTTTGAGGCTGCGAAGTATTAGAAAGGCTGGAAGCCATTGTTTTGTTTATACAAGCGCTCATTAGACTCCCAAACAAGGGGTTATATAAAGCGTGCGTGGGAGAGAAGGGAACAACTGTTTCCAGCACTGCAGTGAAAGCTGTGCTCTCTCCAGCTATCTGTGTGGCTTTCTTTGCAGTGCTGTGCGTAGCATCTGGGAGGATATTTTTGCCAGCAGCATCATGGTGGGTCTTCTTAATTGTTCTACCCCCCAAAAAGACAAGCTCACTTAAACTCAGCATGTAATGATTTTAACATTTATTATGCCAGCAACAACTTGGTGGCTGGGGAGAGGAGCCAGTCATTCTCTTAGATGTATGCGACCAATGAACCAGTAAAATGTGCAAGCTGACCCCACGCTATCTGTGCTGTCATCTCCCTTGATAGCAAGGAGCGGGGGACTTAGTCACCAAGCTGCATTAGAGTTTAAATGTATTTGTGAAAGTGAGAGGGACAGAAAGAACCTTCCCTGTGTCCTGTATTAGAGTTCAAATACAGAGCTCCAGGCCAAGGAAGGCATACATAGAGCCTTCCTTTGCTTCTGATGTTGGACCTAGGGTTCTGTCCAGCCACCAAGGACCTGCAGTAACTGAAGATACCATGCAGAGCCAACACAGCAGCAAAAAAAAAAAAAAAAAAAAAAAAAAGAGCCTGATTACATTACTCAATGGCTGACACTTCTTGGTGTTTGTTTTTTTTTCTTCACATAGTTCAGTCCAGATGTGATATCAGTATGCTTCTAGGTCATACCATGTAGGCCTACCTTGCATAATGCAGAACGCAAGAGAAGTGCAAGTCAGTAACCTGAAAATAGCCGTCCTTCATCTAGGTCAGAGGAGAATCTTGGCTCTTTTTCCTTGCAGCAAGCACTGAATCCAGGGTACCGGTTAAGCTGAATTAATGACACAAAGCAGCAAACAGTGAGAGGCTGTGCCAAGCCATTACAACACTTGGCCAACTTTTTCTTTTGCAACTCAGATATCTCTGAGTCTTTCAGATGTGCTTAGAAGACGGTGAAGATCGCTGCTTGAGCTAGGAAACGTTTTCGTTTTTATGAACTTCTCCATTCATTCAGACACGCAGTTGCTTGATGAGGCTTAAATCATACTTTGCTAGCTGAATCCACCAAGGAACGCGCTCAGTTCTGTAAGGCAGCACGCACATAGCCCATGCATCTGTTGAGGAACAATTAAGCATCTGTCATACATCTCAGTCCTTCTCCCTTCCCAGGTTTTAACATCCCTTCTCAGCTCAAATTTAGTTCCCCATTTTGGATCTCTCCTATCAGGGTCATATCAAATGACTTAGCTGAGGCCTGACTTTTCCAGGGTGGTCCAGGATGTACGCTGCTTATTGGGACACCAGTAATAGACCCATGAACCTTTCCTCTGTGGGCTTCGTGTTTACCAGTTGAGGAGCCTCTTCCCTATGTGACCTTGCAGAGGCCTGATTCTTCTGGTAAACCAGTAGGAGTTAGGTGTCCATCTGTTTGGACTTATGGACGTATGCTGGTGTAAAGCTGCCTTGCAGTGTGGATCATGGCCTACCTCTGGCTCAGCACTGCCATTGTGCCCTGCTCTCTGCTTTCCCTGGTGGATAAAAGTGGATGTCTTCTATGAGAAGACAAGGAAAGCAAGAATAAATCCAGGTAGAATAATATCTTTGTAAACACCTGAGCGCTTCACCATCACTTAATACTTACCATTGAAGCCTTCTTCTGAGAAACTTCACAGATACACGCACTGGGACTGCCCTTGCCTTTAAAGCGTCTCTCTGTGAAAAGCAGTCTCATTGGAAAGGCCCATTCGTCCTTCCACTGAGATCACTGCAAAAGATACAGAAACTGATGAAACCCTGCCTTTTTATTTAGTGTAGATTACAAATTCAGTACTGGTCCATGGCAGAAATTAGGATGCATTAGTTAAAAACCGATCACAACTGAGGGTTCTCTATTCTGCCCCTTCTACCCTCTGTAATCCATCTCTTTTCACAATGGATCTCTCCATATATATTTTTTATTTGTCATTTTTTAATTTTTTAAACAGTAAAATGACTCGGCCATATCCAGGAGGTTTTATCTTGCTTTCACTACATTACCAACCTACAGTTCCTCTCAGAGGAAACTTGCTCTGGTGCCTGCTTCAGACCATGTTCCTCCTCAGAGCACAGCCGTAGCCTCCTTTGTCTGTGCCAGGGCACATGGATGAGGATGGCCAATGTAGAAGCTGTTGTTGGGAGAAATGTTGCCAAAGTGGTGAAAAACTATGAAACAGGAGACCAGAAATGAAAATCCTGTAAAAATAGAGAAATGTAGACAGTGAAGGAAAGAGCAGCACAAACAACAGCAGGAAGTGAAAGTGAAATTTATTGTGTGAAGTAGCGTTTCATGATAGAATAAAGCAAAACAAAGAATAATTCCCTTCGTGGCAGGAATTACTGAGTGATGTTCTTTTCTTTATGTTATAAAAGTTATCAAGCAAGATGAATGTCAGGGTGTACTTTCTGGCCATTATGGCTGTGCATTTATACCTGCGTGTTCCATTACCTACTCAACAGGACCACTGATATTTTCCAGACATATTCTCCCTTCCACACAGCTTGTTAAAAGTGAATGTAGCTCATTAAGTTTAGCACCAGCCCTGGTAGGGGCCACCAACAGATCAAATGTCTGCTGCAGGAAGGGAAATAAATATGACACTTGGTTGCTGCCTTATAACGCATCAGCAGAGAAATGATAGCTATTCGGGAACCTGCGGATAGAACAACAACAAAAGTTTTTTCATTAGGAGTGTAACCAGTCTAAGCAGGATGAATGCAGAACTGGGTTTGGCACCTGGTTTTGCAAAACATGTGCTGAAGAGTACTTAGGCATTTACTGGGGTAGAGCTAATCACATTGATAAATGATGGTGCATAGAGGTAATAAGATAACAGCTATTATTTAAGGATGGATTTAAAAGTAAACATAAATTCTCTCATTTGATGATAAGATAAACTTAATGAATAAATATTACTGGTTTATTATGATAATTAATGTCATTATTTATCCTAGACATAATGATTGGGAGCAAATTCAGACAAGCATCTAGACCATCAATATTTGTCTTCCTTGGATGGTCTGGGTTTTAACCAGGTTGATTAATAGGTGTTCTTGTTTCTGAACAGAAATGAACTGGGTGTCATAACAAAACTTTGAAGCTGACAAGTAACCATACCCACGTTTCAGCAATGGGGAAGCTGAGGGAGAAAGGTGCAGGTGCCATTTCAGTAGCATGCATAACTCATAGACAGGGGTAAAGCCCTGTTCAGCAAAGCACTTGAGAGGTATGGAAATCATGCACTTAAGTGAAGCACTGAGATGTAGAGTGCCGGTACTAGAACTCAGACATCCAATTTACTGTTTTATGCCCTACCTACTGAGCTGCCTTACTGCCTTCAGTTTTTGGCCTTACTCCTAAGAAAACAACATTTATGGCAGCATACCATTTGCTTGCCTATCCATCTGTCCTCTCCTATTAACTTCTGAATCCACAGCTGTAGGCAGATATGATGGAGAGCTGAAACCACAAGCTGATCCCTATCAATTGCATGGACTTAGCTGTGCAAAAGGAGGAGATCCTATGAATGCCCTGGCTGAAATAAGGGCCACAGCATGAAATTATGCTAATGAAATGATAATAAAAACTATCTTTCATTAAATACAATATAGGAAATCCTCCTTGAGTTGCATATCTAATAGAAATCACTTTGCTAGGTCTGCTGATCACAGAGCTGCTCATTTACTTTTCTGAAACAAGACATTAATTGCACAGTAATTTCACACTTGGCTAGTTCCCTCATATCCCATGCTACACATTTCAGCTTATGCCCAGTCACCTGTAGCCAAGGCTGGTACATGACTTAGTTGTAAAGCAAAGCAATGAAAAATTTCAAAATGCAGCTCCTCTGGCAGCTCTCTTGTTACCAGTGCTGCAAAACACGTTTATCTTGATGTAGCGTTACTTTCTTAACTCGATTGTGCTATGGTGCAATTATCTGTCAAGGAAAATGGATGTTTTCAATAACAACCATTAGAAAATGTGTCTACATGGTACTCCACAATTCAATGAAGCTGTGGGCAGATGGAAGCATGGAAATGAAATGATGCCTGGAAAAAAAAATATATATATATATAAATAAATAAATAAGCTCTTCTGCTACCCGTCTAGGGGATTGATCTTGCTGATGGATGCATCAGCTTTGCAGAGTGCCTGCAGATCACCCTGTGCTGAGATTTGTGTGCTTGTACGTTTGCCACCTTTTGTCGCTGCTTCCTTTGTAAGAAGAAAATAAAGAAATAAATAAATCAATCACAAGTTATGGCCCCCGATCGCTTCGTCCAGGTGAGTACAAGGGGTACACGAAGGCTTAACTCGTTTGTCACCCGAGTCAGTATCGAAAGGAGCACATCGCACCAGCGGCCGCAGCACGGCGGTGATGCCTCGCAGAGAGCGGGGAGGGTCCTGGCGTGCCTCCGGTGTGAGCATCCCAGGCTTGCTAGCAGCGTTGCCCTCTGGTGCCCAGCCCCAATATTGCAGCGCTAAGCATCCTGTCCCCTTAGGGAAGTCAGCTGCACGCCCTGCTGCAGGGTACCGGCTGTCATGAGATAGTAATTTTCAGGTATCCCAGTGGTTATACACAAAATATACA